TTCAGTGTAATCTAAGCCACTCAACTCTTGTCCTTTTATGACAGATATGAAGGAATGATGCCTCTTTGCAGCAGCCTTTCTATGTGTTTAAAGGGTATATTTTTTATCCACCTCCTCTTTAGGATAAGAAGCAGCAATTTGCCTCATTCGCATAAGAATGCTCTAAAGAAAATCAGTATTACTGCCAACAAAAAAAAAAAAAAAAAAAAAAAAAAAAAAAAAAAAAAAAAAAAAACAACCATAATTTATGCCCAATTGAGTAACTTCAAGAAGGTCCAGATATTTTCTGTCTTTTGCTGACTTTCTTCAAGTGTATATAATTCAAATGCATCAATGACTAACAGTTTTATGGTTTATTTATTTTCTTAGATGAGACTTTTTTTTGAAACAGCTGCTCCAATTGACTATCTTGAATTTCATTTTGTATCTTAAATGCCACTGAGTATAATAAAATGGTAACAACACAGATTTAAGATGGGACAAATGATTAGGGAATACATTTATCTTATTCACATTAGTTGCTTCTAAGGACCAAGCTTCTTACTACTTTACCATGTATATTAAATATTGAGTTGCTTGCTCCAGATAGCTAAATCAGATTTCCCAGTAAGTTTTTAGATGACTTCCACTTACAATAAGCATGTAACAGTTAACTCAGGCAAAAGCAAAGCCTGCAACATCTTCCCATGACCTAAAGTAAAACCTGATCCAGATGAAATTTAAGCTTATTTTCAATGGGCAGTCATCCAGACCACAAAAACTACTACCATTCACAGACTGCTGCTGTGCAGCTTGAGTGTTCAAGGTTTTAAAATTTCATAACATTTACCATTTACATAAAACAACTTACAGAGTATAGTCAATGTAGAACTCCACACTAATAAAGCATTAAATTTAAGATGTCGAAGCTTACAGGGATCAAAGATTAGGGTTAAGGTTTCCAGAGCAACATGAAGTTCTGGCCTCTTTTGGCTGTATGTTATGATAAGGTATTCCTTCATATGATACCAGAGTATCAAAAAATGTGGCAGACTATTTAGCAAATGACACACAATGTTACTTATCACCACTTCTACGATCTGTGAAAATGTTTTCATTTGGAGATTCTATTATCGACAGTCTCTTAGGAGTAAGATGACAACTTGTGGGCATGTAAAATTCTTCTTTCTCCATATATACACTTGCGTATTTTCAAAAATTGACACCATGGCCTCCTACTTTCTGAAATACGGATAGATTTCATATTGGAACAAAAAAGATCCAATGGCTTGTTTTCCTTAAATTACACCTATGGAAATATTAATAACATTTACAAAATTTACATTCTGCATATGTCATTGCATTTAAAGCCTACATAGCAGAGAAATCTGCTTACATAGCAGAAGTTGAAATCCCAGCATGGTACAAAGCACCATGGATTTTCCTCAAGTATACACAACCAAATAAGCCTCTTAAGCAGACCTCGCAGTAGAACCAACAGGCATGTTGTAAACAACGAGGTTCAGACATAAGCCACTAGGTACAGCTTATCTCATGGAAAGAGAATGCCATTCAGCATATATTTACAGCTGCCCCATTTTGCCTACTTGAAAACAGGCACAGAGGGTAACCAAGCTAAATGATGGGAAATGATCCAATTATGCACAGATTGTCTCACATTTTCAGCAGTGAAGATATTAATGGCATGCACGCATTCATTCATATAATTTATTCCCTGAATCATCTGCATAGATGAAATAATGGTCTGTCATGAGATGAAGATCTGACTTGAAAACTTCACAATCAAGCATGATGGATTTCTGGGAGCTCTCCTGGTGGCTGTTTTGGAGAGTTCTTGAAATTGCCTTAGGAAGCTCCTACTGTCCAGTTCAATCTGTGCACTTCAAATGTTTTAAGTAGCATTCTTGGAGGAGTCTCTCCAACTTCCTGCTACAGAAACAATTGTGTATCATATTGGTGTTGCACAGTGCTGTGCTCTAATTATCAGGGTGAGAGAAGAGATTCTTAGAAATATCCAGGGTAAGACTGAAACATAAGTGAGGTAAAATGTTGTCTGATCAGTTAAAGTTATACAGAAAGGAAAGGTCAGCGATTACTACGAATTAGAATCACAAAATCACAGAATACCTGGGTTGAAAAGGACCACAGTGACCATGTAATTTCAACCTCCCTTCTATGTGCAGGGTTGCCAACCACCAGACCAAGTTGCCCAGAGCCACATCCAGCCTGGCCGTGAATGCCTTCAGGGATGGGGCATCCACAACCTCCTTGAGCAACCTGTTCAGTGTGTCACCACCCTCTGTGTGATATTCCTCCTAATATCTAACCTAAACCTCTCCTGTCTTAGTTTAAAATCATTTCCCTCTGTCCCATCACTATCCACTCTCATAAACAGTTGTACCGCCTTCTGTTTACACTTGAAGTACTGGAAGGCCACAACGACATATTCTGGGAACCTTCTCCAAGCTAAACAAGCCTAGTTCTCTCAACCTTTCCTCACAGGAGAAGTGCTCCAGCCTTTTGATCATCTTAGTGGCCCTTCACTGGACCCAAGTGCTCTGTGTCTTTCTTGTTCTGAAGGCCCCAGGCCTGGACACAGTACTCTAGACGGGGCCTCACAAGAGCAGAGTAGAAAGGCACAATCACCACCTTCTCCCTCCAGGCCACTCCTCCTTTAATCAGCCCAGAACACAGTTGGCCATCTGGGCTGCAAGCGTACACTTTTAGCTCACGTTCAGCTTCTCATCCACCAGGAACCCCAAGTCCTTCTCTGCCAGGCTGCTCCCTTCCCTCAATTTGTATAAATACCTAAGATTGCACCCTGCACTTTGCCTCACTGAAACTCATTAGGTTCTCATGGGCCCACTTCTCCAGCCTGTCCAGGTCCCTCTAGATGGTTTCCCTTCCCTCCAATGTATCAATTGCACTGCTCAGCTTGGTGTCATCTGCATGCTTGACTTGATGCCATCGCCTATGTCACTGATAAACATGTTGAAGACCAGTGGTCCCAGGTCTGACCCCTCAGGGCCTCCACCCTGACTACAGAACCATTAATCACAACCCTTTGGCTGCATCCAACCAACCAATTCTTAATCGACCGAATAGTCAATCCTTCAAATCCATAGCTCTCCAATTTAGAGAAAGAGGGCAAACACAAAACATAGGAAAGGAGCAAGAATTACATAAAGCATGGATAGTCATGGGGGAATCAAATGTTGTTTCTGCATTAGAATCGGATAATATAGTCAGTTCTTTTTTGGGAGTCTTTCTACTTTACTCGGAGGGGGTCTCTGATAGTTTACATCACTTATCCTCTAGACGAACCTTCCCCAGGAACGCACACTCTGTATGTAGGTGTATATATGTGTATTTTGCCATACACACTGCAGGAATATCCTGCACGAGATCAAACCAGAGAACCAGTCATGGCCTGCCCGAGGAAGTGCTTGAAGAGACATTGGAAGGCCTGGCATCACCCCTGCCCTGCCCCTCCCCAGTGCTCTTTAACAAAGACTTTGAAGAAAGTCACCGTATCAATATGACAAGAGCACTGAGATATCTTAGAAACAACAGGATGGCTGCTGACTGACACCAGATAACACACCAATTAACAAACGTGAACTTTGACAAGATTATGAACCTGGAGTATCCAGCCAATGGGAAACAGGGGAGGGGGATGGGCAAAGGGGGAAACAAGACACAAAAAGCTGTCATTGTGTCCTTAGGGTGCTCCTGCTTGCAAGACACCCACTATTGCTTTTATCAGAGATACTGTCCTGACAAAAATTATTTGGATATTTCCAACAGTTACCACCAAGAATCCAGCAGTGTCCCACTGTGCGCCATTCTGACAGTCCAAGGCCAGTGCAGGAATAAGGGCACAGAGGGAGGCGGCAGCAGAATGGCTGGTCTTAGGCAGCAAGCAGATAAACAGTAGGCAACCAACAGTGGGTCCAGGAGAAACAGGCAGGCGGCAGGTAGCAGGCCCTGGAGAATCATGCAGCAGGCAAGTATCACACCACAAAAGATCTGATATTAGGCACGTGCCTTTTTTAATTCTCTTCCTCCACCAGCAAGGCATTCCTGGCACTTAGGTTAGAGTCACAGGGAGCACCTGTGGGCATGCAAGTCCTCTGGACAGTTATCTCTCACTAGATGTGGCCACAAAAGGCTGCTCACCTGCCATGTAGCAGCTGCCAAAGGTTGCTTTTCTCTCCAGGAATCCCTGGCCTGCAAGCGTTCAGACAGAAGATTTCTTGGACTTGTCAAGACTTGTCTGAACTTGTCCATCATGTCATCCAACAGCAAGCTTTGACTTGCTCTCTGCAAAGACGCAGAGATAGTCTCTTACACACAGCAAGAATTATAATTACATAATTGTACTACACATAACATTACTGACAGAACTTTTGACTAGTGGCAGAAGCTGAATGGAAGCTGAAGTACATTTTCAGAGTAGTATTTAGTGTCAACAGCAAAATGAGTTCAACAGATTAACTTCCTCAAAAAAGTTAATTCATTATGCTTTTAAAAGCACAAGCCTGAGTTTAAATAAAATAAAGAATCAGTCTGCGATGCAGTCTGATTTTAACTGCACGTCTGTTACCAGATATGCAATCAGATATCATATTTAAATAAATTATTTTATTTACAATTAAAATTTTTTTCAGTATGCAATGCTCACAAAAGGAAACATGATTCATTTGTGCTGAGCAAGAAATCACAGTTTTCAAGAATAACTCATATTTACTTTTTATTTTTGTCCCATCCATATATTCTCATACCGAATAGTCACATGTATAAAAAATAGAGGCAACAGTGAGCATGAACGGCACTAAGTTGTTCTTGTAACTCGCTAGAAAACACACATTTAAAAATATAAACATTTTTACTTGCACATAAAAATTATTAACACTAAAGTATGTCCAGACCACACCTTCCGGTAAAGACATAACAATAGTCTATATAAATCAATAAAAGAGAGGAAGCGTAATGACAGATGAAATTTGACATGCGCCATCATTTAATATGCTGGAGATTTCACACCAAGAGACACAGGTAACAACCAAAAATTGGTCATCCACATAAATAAGGTGAAGAACTCACTGGCATACAATACCAAAAAAAAATTGGAAGCTTCACAGCTCTATAGTCAAACTGATCAAAATCATGTTAACATAGATTCTGACAGGATGTGTAAAGGCGGAAATGTGAGTGAAGGAGGAAAACCGCTCAGTACTATTGCCAACTGAGGAATATCAGCAGGAATAATAGGATCTAGAATTATCATCATTCAATAAAGCAAGTTTACTCAAAACATTTTAAAATAATTTTATCTCAATTTAGTTTGTCATAGCTTCGTAATGATATATAGTACAGGCAATGTGAAATGTAAATTGAGGTTATTATAAATAGGAATTCATCACTTTGCTTTCAAATTTATAGAGGTATCATGTTTCACAGCATATTGCTGAAGTTGTATATATTTTCATCTTCATTTAACTAATAAAATAATTCTAGCACAACTCATGTAGAAAACTATCATTTTACTACGTTAAAAGATGTAGCAGAAGATGGTTCATCTGAATCATCTGAACTGTATTTTCTCCATAGAAAGTTTTCATTTTTTTTCCAAAGAGAATTTTCACACACTTCTCTCTTTTCTGTCACTGGTGGATGAGGTGCTCTTTCACATAGCTCCTCTATAACTGTCATATCTGTGAGCTTTCTGAGGCTCTCCTCATTCTGCTCATTCAGCATGTCCCAGAAATCTTTTGGTCTCTCCTTTGATTTTTCTATTTGCCCTGAAGGGATTCTCCGTGGTGATTCTGTAGTTTTTTCCCCACTATTTCTGAAGAGAACATTGAGAATAGAGGTATCTCCAAGTAAGTCAAGAGAAGACTTTTTGTCAGCCTTAGCTCCTCTCTCCCTGTTTTCTGACAGAGACAGGGATCTTTTTCTTGGCAGCCCTGCTACTTCTGGGTCCTGCTGTCCTTCAGAGCTTTTTACAGACAGCACCTCAATTATTTTCGATTTCCTGTTTAATGAACCAGATGCTATAAAATCCTTGAATGTCTGATTGTTACTCCTCTTAGTATGCTGAGTTGCAACAATGGGTGATTGTTTATATTTCACATCAACACACATAGTATCTTGCAAGCATGAGTCATTGCAAAGTTGCTCTACTTCACAGCTTCGCTGGTTCTGCAGTTCTGTAGTTCCACTCGGAAGAAATTCTTTAGCTGATGAAGGTCCAGACTTGCATCTTCCAGAATTAACAACACATTTTCTTTTCCTTGATTTTCTTGCAGCCGCATCTCCTTCTTCAGAGTCATGTGCAACTTCTGCTGGTACTTCCATTGGAAACAAAGACTCAACTTCTGGATGCTTTGAAATGTAAAATTCCCTCAGCAACTTCTGCCGGGATTCTGATGTAGTCTTTGCAATATGTTCTGCAAGTTCTTCCATTGATCCCATTTTAAAGTGGGATACAATTTCCTCAAATTGTCTCCTGTAAGTAATCAGAAAGGAAAATGTTTTATTCTGACATCATAAATTAGGAAAAAAGAAGCTTTTAAGCAATTCATTACACTGTTCTATTTCACATATCCCAAAAAGTAATCATTAAAAGTAACTTCCTTATTAGGAGCCATATTTGTTTTTATTAGTGAAGAAAGAATAATGACTGTAGAACAACTAATTCTGAAACCCAAAATCTCAAGTGATTTTCTGAGCTTATGTTCTGAAGACACATTAACTTTCAGTGTAGGTAAGATTACGTGCCAAAGGGCCAGAAATCAGAAGGTACTTATCTGCTGAAAGAATTTAGATAGAGAAACAGTAGAATTCTGGAGGGGAGGGGAAGACAGCAGAACAGTTGTTAAAACTCCTTAAATAAAAAACTTGCTAAATAACAGTTTGGTGAATACCAAGATGAGGCAGAAACTGTCCCTGCCATTCCTTCTAGTTAGCTGTAAGTACTTGCCTTGTGCTCAGAAGCCAGTGTCTAACTATAGATTACTCTAATCAAATTTAGCCATAGTCTGGGGTCAAGCTACTTAGCTGGAAGGCTGGAGGTGTGAGTTTATGCCTCCTTGTCAGACACAGTATATGAAACGCTACCTTTCCTGCAAGAGGGCTCCAGCAGGTTGAGGACAATAAGATGTAATCCTCCTTAATCCCAAATACTGCTTTAGTGATTGGCTCCCACTACCTTCTTTATGCACAACCTCTGTACACAGTTTCCCAATCAATCTTGCAACTACAGCAGACCAAGCTGAGCAATCCTGTCATCTTAATTCATTATACGGAGGATTTAAAAGTATTAAGAAGTCTAGCAGCAAGCTAGGTACTAACATCTGACTCACTTAACATTTAAGATAGAATGTATTAAAGCTAGACTTGACTTAGCATTTTCTAAGAAATTCCTTAGTCTTTTCACTGCCTTTGAAAATTGTATCTCAATAAGTTACTGATAACAATGATTGCAGTTTTGAATATTTTTAGCAGAAAGAGTTCTTCTCTTTCTACCTCTTACATGTTTAAAATTTTCAGTACCTAAATCAGTCTGACACTTTATCAGTAATGGTTTGGGTAACTATGATCAGTTGGCTAATAGGAAGTTGAACAATATTATCTGAATACCAACTATCATAAGGTAATTTTCTTGGCAAAAAGACAATTTAAAAATATATACATCTCAGTTCTATAGGTTAGCCTAATTAACAACAGTTTTTTCCTTTCTTTTTCTGCATATCACCTGGTTATTGTTATTGAATTTCTATGTATGTACCAATGGAAATTAAGCATTAGTATTATTAATAGCAACCGCCTGGGGAAAAAGGAAAAGTGAGGAGACAGAAAAACTCTTAATTTTCCAAGGGATATTATTAAATCTTATAAACTTATTTAAAAAGTATCAAAAACCATTAAGCTCCACGTTAAAAAAAATAATAAAATGTTTAATCTTTTTACAGTCTTTTAATGAAAGTGATGAAATCTAGACAAAACCAGTAAGCTGTCAGAGGCTGCCACTATAAAACTTTGTTGTTTCTATACTGTTTAAGCATTAGCTCGTTATATTGCATGGTGCATATCCCATGAATACTGTGGTGACAACATCTGCACAGCAATGTGTGACAGATCAAATCAACAAATTAAACTGACTTGTGGGTTAAATTCATTTTGTTAATCAATTATGTTTCTTTCTGTAAAGTTAGAGTGGAAGTTTCATATTAGTTCTGCTTTCGCCCCCCAAAAAACCAAAAACATCAGAATTCCCTGGGGAAGGTAGAAACACAGAGAACATTAATTTTTCAAGCTTAGAATTTTACTTTATCTTCATCAAAGTAGTCTCACCTGCGGATTTCTTTGGGTGTTTTTCCAACCAAGAAGGTGACTGAGCCCACTCTGTGTACTTCGGTGTTTCTTTGGATCACTGGATGCAAAATGTACAGGTTATGTCGGTTACTGTTCACCATAATTCCATGCTCTGTCTTCATAATGTTCTTCTCTGCTATCACTCCACCTGGCTTTTCTTTAGCTTTCTAGCAAAATAAGAAATGCAAATTGTCAAAACAGCTGTGTCTGAAAGGATGATTTTATGACTGCTCCTGTCTTCACATGGACTTTACAGTTTGTGCACAAAGACTGGGATTCAGAGATTCACTGAAAGCTCCCTACTATATTACATGCTTCCTTGGGACAGTGAAGGGAAGTCTTAGTTCCCTAAGAGTGAGGCGTTTTTTTTTTTTTTTCCAAATATGTTATGAAAGATCATTACGTTCTCTAAAGCATTAACTAGTGTTACAAAAATAATCTCAGAAGCTCTGAATACTATTGTAAAATAGAAAAGAAGTATGTGTCTGTAAGTTGCACTCCAAGTAGATACATTGTATCTTCCTGGATTTATTTAGCAAAGTCTAGGATTATTTAGATTCACCACTTTCTGCTTACTAATGTGTGTTTCACAATTTGTGCACAGTACATAATCATAACTAATTGTAGCAATTTAACACTCAAAGAAAAACTGTAACCACAACACTACCAAATGAATATCACTAATAATATAAGGTGTACTATTATGTGTAATCACATAAATAATCGTATCGGTATCAAAGATAAGAACATTTTTGTTAATATTGAAACCTCTAACAAAAATAGTAAGAATTGCAAAGATACCTTGGAAAGCATTACCATGCTTGCCTGAAAATGAAGAGGAAACAATTACACATGGTACTTACACTATGCTATAGATAAGATTAAAAGATACAGTAGCAGTTACAATGATTCCTAAATGGAGAAAGTCAATCCTAATCATAATGGCCATTAAGAGAATTTTCCTCCAATAATAAGTCAAGCAAAAAAAAAGAACTGCTTAGCAATATCCTCTGTCCCCCTACAGATACTGTCCAAAAGACGAAAAAACAGTGTTCACACCTTGTCACTTCCAGTTCAAAATTTGCTTTTGGATCTACGATGTTTCTTTGCAATGTGTCTCTATTTGATTCACACCCACTTCTTTTAATTCCATGGGCTGTTCAAAATGTTCTTCTGCTTTAGGGTCTCACAGCTGTTCTCAATCCATTACTTTGACAAATAACCTCAAACTAGCATAGAGAAAGACATTAAAACTAAGGGACCTACAGGCATAAATTCTCTCTGTTTAAGCTATATGAACAATTCCAAACATCACAATTTAATTGCAATATTAAATTATAGTAAACAAAACTGAAACCAAGTCTCCCATTAAGATTAAAAAAAAAAAACAACTGTTGATCTTCCAGTGATGCTCTGATAATAGCAACAAAATTAACACTGAAATAGCAGATATCATCTACAGCCTACATTCTATAGTTACCTCCTAATTCTGCACACTATATAAACTATTAACTTAAAAAAAATATTTGGATAATATAGATAACATTGAACAAAGCAATGTGAGTTTTAAAATAAATATATTTTGTTGGAATTATTTAATAAAAAGTATTTTAAGCATTCAGACTTCAGTGTAACAAGATCTAGTGTACTTGTCACTCTTTCAGGAAATCAGGATTGTATCACTTTATTGTAGAATACAACCCTAATCATGTCAATGTCTGCCTTAGAAGTATTTTAAACCCCCCAAAAAGTACATTCATCTGTCTCTTATTAAACAAGACCAAAATATATAAGAGAGCATTACTTCAGTTTATATATCTGTTCAAATGCAGATACTAAAAAGCACTTTGAGAAAAAAAAAAAAAAAAAAAAAAAAGACGTTTTGTTAACACAATATTAGTCATAAAATTAGTTATCTTCTAAAGAATCAAAAATACTATAAAAAATCTTGCTAATTACCAATCACTTCACAAATAACATATTCAATTCTGGAAGTACAAAACTTAAGTAGAGTGAACAGCATTGCTAAACCTGAGAAAACAACATCAAAATACAACTATATATACACAGTTTCCTTTCTTCTACCCAAATTAGCTGCTCACAGATTTTTCATGAAGGTAGAGAAGGCAAGTAGGAATAAATCACCTGATACAAGTGAACAAGAGGTGCAATAGCTAATGCTAGCGGCTCCTGTATTTTTACTTTACTTTTTGAAAATCTTATCACAGCTCTCTAAAACAAAAGCCAGTTACTTAAATAGTGCACAGGCTTAAATACAAATGACTCCACTGAACTTGAAAATGTTTTTGAAGATTTGCCCATTTTGAAGATACAGCCCCAACCACTGATTTTTTTTTTATTTTTAAAAGATCACTGAGATGTCTCAGTGGTATCTTAAAGGTCCAATCTGAAGTTTGTTATTCTGAATAATACACGGTTAAGGCTCTAAGTATAGTTTAGGTTTCTGTGCCTCTAGATGAAAAAAAAATGTTTCCTTCTCCTAGCACTGTTGCTAAAGAAGTGGAAACTTCCAACACAGCGCTATTTTGCTTTTGTTTGAATATGACATCATGTATCACTTGTTAACTCTGCACTGATTCTTCCCACTCAGAAGCCACTTTTTTCCTGTTTCTCTCTCAGTGCCTGCTTTCTAACTTACCAATCCTATTTTATGATGAAAACTACTTTAAAATAGCTTTTCTCTACCAACAATTCTTTCTCTACCATCAAACCATTGTGTCTTCTATTATAGCAAAGCTCTTAGACAAAATTCTATCAACATAATATTCAGATTCATAAGCCCTGGTCTTGAGCACCTGTACTGTCACATATGTCATACACCTTAAGCAATTTTGCCATGACTGAAATTAATGGAAGTGGACTCAGGTAGGAACCCCAGACAACTGTTCATACGTCACCAATGGTAATACATCTGGCAACATATTTATACTTTTGAATAAGAGGCCCTTTATTAATTGAAAAGACCAGAAGAATCAAGTGAAAGAAACAGAAATCCTTTCCAAAGGAAGCATTCTGTGCATTAGAAGTGTGCCTTACCATTACTCAACTTATAGTACTGTAAATTAATTAATTTACTACAAGTGTTATTGAACTTCTCAGAAGACCATGCTACTGATGTAAAATCAGAAGACTGTGTTTTCAGGTCATTACTGGAAACCATGAAGACAATGATAATGGTCCATAAGCATATATCAGAAATGGAAATTAAATAGTTATTTAACAGAAAGTGTACAATTGGTAAGAACTTCTTTTCCCCCCTCTAAATCAATACAAGTAACTACAGAAAATGTAAACCATTGTAACACAAAGAAAGGAAGAACAACCAAAAAACTCAGACTGTAGAAATAGCAAGAGAAATTTTTGCTCCTGTAACAAAGGTTCCACTAGTACCCAAATGAATGATAATACATATTTCTCTCACTTCAAAATGTAAGTATGTTTAAAAATTTGGAATACACAACTATGGACAGCTGCTCCAAATGACAACTAAAACCACAGTATAGAAGTCCAACATAATTCTTGCCAAACTTCATGTCAAACACAAACATACTGTATACTAAAAATGTGCTGTTTGCATATTGCATTGCATATGTTCTGATTAGCCCTCTGTAATATATGCGATATAAACCTAAAGGAATTAAAATATCATACAATATGTGTTAAAGGTATTTAAAAAAAGGGATTGATAGCAGTAATGTAAGCAGTTTATCCTTACTGAATACTGAACAAAGACTATGTATTTGCAGTGCACACTCTGAAATTTCCACTGCTCCACGTGGATGTTTTCCTTAAACCTGAACACATACTTTATCCAAAATCCAATAATTATGTGCACATACATATATAGAAATACCTGCATCTTTTATATATTACTGCATTGTTCACATTTTCACATTTCACATTGTTCCACATTTATTGGAAGGGAAAACAAATTCCATATAAAAAGACAGGATCTACCAATGAATTATATTGTATCACTAACTGTGATAATTTTACTGCTTTCTAGAAAACTTAGCAATTCCTCTTCCTCAAGAACATCTCCACGTGAAGTCCAGGAGAAATAGACAATTTATTTATGTACATTATTTACAAATATAAGACATACAAACGGCCAGAGATGCAAGTTATTTTGCAGAAGTAATGGTTACTGGATTAAAAAAATTACATGAAAAAAAAATGTTATACTGAAGTAAATATCCCACTAAATATAAATAAATATAAATTAAAATAACAGTTAAAAAAAGTACAGTAAAATGAAATTACAGAACACTATTGTAAACTAGGGAAATTAATGTCAAAAAGCACAGACATGTCTTTCCATCTTACACTTTTCTCTTATCATTTATTGCACTAGCTCTAAAGATGCTTCCACATAAGGCAACAGGACAGAAAACTGATCATTATGTCAATGCACAGAAAATACATAGTTATAAAAGTACTCAGAAAACCTCTGGACTTCCACCCCTCATGAAAGAACCTGCCAGAGAAAGCTTTCATTTCTACTTTCCAGGTTCCACGTAACTACTGAGTTTTCAATTTTAATCACAATATATCTATCTTTTCTTACAAAAGGTATTCTTCATTCCTTCTTCATTTGTCAGGTATGTCTCTTGTTCCTTATACAATAACGTTTTGGTTGTCAATAAAGAGTTCCCATTTCTTTAAGTTACATACAAGCTGTAATCAAGAGACCAGCATATATGGAAGCCTCTACATCTTAAGTATTCTATACCAGTACACATTAAGATTCATTCTTCTCTAGTAGAATGGAGGCATGCAGTTGAAAATCAACCAGAAATTTAAGCAGTTACTTCTACTCCATCTTGAATCTGCAACAGCTCTTGAACCTGTTTGTTCTGTGTAGCTCCTGCTGCAGTTAAGAGTTTTTAGAGTAACATACATATATCCAAACTGATTCTTCTCTATCTTTGTTGGAACAATACCGCTTCATATGTTATTCATACTTAAGACATAAAAAGGCATCTTTACATTCTATGGCAATGAACAGAAATGTAGGAGCATTCACACATGACTGGTCATGTTAAGTCTGTGACTTTCCTCTTCCTTTCTGCAGTCCCTTCAAGTAAAGCAACAGAGAAGAACGATCGCCTTTATAAGTTCAATAAGACAAAAATGTGCGACAGAG